GAAAGCGGTCACTGCACTCCAGTCTGGGCGACCGAGTGAGACTCCAACTCAAAAAAAAAAAAAAGACTTTAAACACATTCATTTCACAGCTGAGTTAGTTTTATCACAAGCTTTTCATTTCTTGTATAACTTTGATTCTCTGTATTTAAAAGTCATGCTCCTCTTTACTATCTCTTGTTTTCTATTAATTTATTCAAATTTACCTTCAAAGTTTCCTAACTGTCTTCTTTCGACATTTAAGTAATTCTTGACCAGAAACATGATGCTAAGAACACAAGCGCATCAGAAGCCCTATATACATGCATGGCCTTAGTAACTACAGGGCCTAGGACTAAGCTGTTTCACTGGTAAAGTCCCAAGTCCATATTTTTTACTTCTTTCTTGGACCAGTCAAATTACTTAAATATTCTAATTTCTTGCCTTGAGAGCATTAAGATTTCTGGGAGAAAAAATGAGAGTGAAGAAATAGAGAGCTCACACTTAGTATGCCACGGCATCCTTAAGTTTTTTGTGTTTTTTTTGAATTGTGACAACGAACAGTGGCCCTCAACAAGTACCTCACGTCCCCTCATCATTTTATTCTCTGCAGAGGATAAACCATCGTCTGATTTTCAGATTTCTTGGCATCCCCTTCTCATTCGACTCAGGTAAGTTTTAAACAAAGTCAACGAATCACAAACTAGGGCTGAATTAAACATATGTTGACAGATAACTACATCTATCCCCATTATCTGTACTCCACCACGCTGGGCTTTTGCCACAGGCTGGTCTCGCCTTCCTAGAAATATGGTACCACTATCCACCTGATCATACAAACCAGGATGCTGGAGAATGAAAGAGAATTTTGCAACTATGCTGAGTCAACATTTATTAACTGTTCTGTCCTGGAGTATATCACCCTACCTAGAAGAAGTCTTGTGTCCATAATCCCTTTTTTTTTTTTGAGTTGAGTCTCACTCTGTCACCTAGACTGGAATGCAATGGCTACTCCCAGCCACCGCAGCCTCGACCTGCTGGCCTCTGGCGATCCTTCCGCCTCAGCCTTCCGAGTAGCTGGAACTACACGCGCGCGCTACCACGCCCGGCTGATTTTTGATTTTTTTTTTATTGTAGAGATGAGGTCTCGTCAAGTTGCCTAGGCAGGTCTTAAACTCGCGGGCTCGGGCTATCAACTCACCTCAGCCTCCCAGAGTGCTGGGACTACAGGCTGAGCCACCGAGCCTGGCCCATAATCCCTTTCTTTAGCTCAACAGTCAAACCCTTTA